GTTTGAGTTTCTGCATTGATAGTGCACTTTATGATGCACGATAGATTCCACCAAAAGGAGCTTCCTTATAATCAAGATATTTAATTTTCATTTAGTCTTAATTCGTAGAAAAGTCGTTGTTTTAAGTGAGTTAATAGTTGTTGTTGTTTTTTTAAATCACAATCTGCTGTTATAAAACCGCATTTTTTTCATTCTTTACAATAAATAATATTCGGTAATTTCAATCTGAAGGGGTGCCTTATGCAACACAATACTAATGCACCGAAAATCACATAACTATAAATTCAATACATCTAACCTCAATTGATGAATATGAAATTCGGAAAATTATAAGTTTCCAAAATTTAGGAAAAGGTGGAAACAAAGGTAAAAATGAATCTGAAATTTTAAAACGTAATTTGATATATTAACACCGATCATAACATACTTATTTGACAGGTAAATGGAATAAGGGATTTTTCCAAACGTTTTAAAATATGTTGTCATTTTACCTATTTTAAAAAGGTAGTGAAAATGATCTAAATAATTATATACCAATTGCTTTATTATCAATTATATCAAAATTTTGAAAATTTAGTTGAAGAAAGATTTATAAAATGCTTAGAATCAAATTTTATCTATTCAGATATAGGAAATATATGAATACAGATAATGCATAACGTAACTGATTAATAAATTAAATTATTTTATTAATGATGGTAATTTATCATATGTTCTTTTTTTAGATGTCTCAAAAGCTTTTGATACATTTTTACAATCACTTTTATTAAAATATTATGGAAATGGAATACGAGTTATTGTTTTAAATAGGTTTAATACAATAATAAGCAGTTCCCCTCTCCCCAGTAGCTCAGCGGTGAGCATAAGGACTTATAACGATCTCCGTAGTGGAAAAAGCACAGAGAGCTCATTGTGTGGCTTTGTGCTTAACAATAAACAAATAATCCAAACAACTAAATGGAAATTACATGAACTCCACTTCAGTAAATTTTGTGCATCATAAAAGTTTACTAAATTTTGCTAATTTTTTCTTCTTATCAAATCAAAACAAAAATGGGCTAAGCAGCCAGACTAGAGACACCTGAATTACTGATCAAACGAAAAGCAACCAGTTAGCAGCATTCACCGCCACAAGGGCTTCGTTCGCGCGCCCCAGTGGCACAGTGGTATGTCTGCGGACTTACAACGCTAGAATCCGGGTTTCGATACCCGTGGTGGGCAGAGCACAGACAGCCCGTTGTGTAGCTTTGTGCTTGATTAAAAACAAACAAGCAAGCTATGGTTGTTCATTAAGAACAATAACCCATGAGTGCCACTCACTTGAAAATAAATGTAATATATAATTGTGCTACCATGCTATCAAGATTTTCTTCGTTTGAAAAACATAAATTGTGCAAAAATAAATAACAGAAGTATATGGCAGGGATATATTAACAATTACAAAAATACAGGAATGCAAAAGTGAATCATTTAAAAAAACAAAAAAATAACACAACTCAGTACTGTACGGAACAGTAAGTCTCACCTTCAGTTCCAGTATCATCAACATCTGTAGAACCATAGCAACCATTGGGATGTTGCCAGCTTAATATTAGGTCAACCCATTCTGGTCTGTAGAAATCTTTATATCCGACCAGTCCGCATATCGCCACTGTAAAAATATTAAAAATCTAAGTCAGCTCTTTTATTGTGAACTATATTTTAATATTTTCTGTGTGTGATAACTTACTGTATTGTAAAAGAACTAAGACCTTTTATATATTTTACAGATTTTATAATTTAACAGTTTAATTGGAAGCAAATCATTAAACAATAGCTGAAACAAGGAATGCTGACAAAAGCCTTAGATTAATATTCTTTGCCTGGATACACAGCTTAGCACATCATATCTCACAAACAGTATGGCATAGGAAGGTGAAATTGCACAGGAGTGCTAAGGGTATTACGCATACACGAATGACACATGAAACTGCCATGTGTTCCACTATGACCTAATGTCTGATCAATCACAGTAAATGTGTTCCTCCAGCGTTCAGAATGCATCGCATCCACGTGACAACAAACATCACAACAACAACGCGCATTTCATCTGGTGTACTGGACTGTTGCATTCTTGAGATTTGGAATTGTGCGAGGCTTCCAGCAGTACACGCGTGACTTCAGGTACAACTAAAAATCAGCTGGTATTAGATCCGGTGAATGAGGTGGCCATTTACGAGGAAAGTGACGTGAAATCATTTTGGTCTTGAAAATACTTCCGCGAGACATGTTTCACCTGGTTATCAATATACGGAAGGACACCATCCTGCGTGAAAACCATAATGTCTGTCACATGCTGCAGCTTGAGAATCACGTTGCTTGTGAGAATTGCATGGTACTATGTAGGTTGTTGTGGTTCTTCAATAAACAGACAAACAACAACAAGAAAAACATGGTCCAAAGACAAATTCCCACTGACTATCACCTCAGCATCGTGTGTGTGTGTGGGGGGGGCGTGAATTAGTTTCAGAACAAATGATAGAGTTGCATTTTTTGAAACTTCCAGAAAGGGTGAATTGTGCTTCATCGGTCCCTAAAATATTGGCACGCCATGAGTCACCGACTTCCAGCTTTCCCAAGAACTACAATCGTTCTGGTTTTAGAAACAGAATTAAGGTAAGCCTCTGGGGGTGTAAATCTGCAATGTGTATGCTAATCATATTGCTTTATTTTGGTCTGTCTGTAATTTCTGGAAGAGGTGGTCTGACATGTTACATGTAATCATATTACTATATTCGAATGTAGGTCTGCTGTAGGCTTTGAAAATTATCATGATAGTGTCTGGTGGGCACCGTTTTAACCTCCCCCGATTTTCTTAAGATTGTTATATTTTCGTATAGCAGTACTACAAATTTTGTCAAAAGTGGTTATTCTGTACAGCAGCTTGTTCGTTAAATGTGATTCCTAAAAATTTTACTTTATCAGAAGAGGTGATGTTTGTCTCGTGTATTTTGAGTTCTTTCTTTTTCTTTTTGATGCGTTTATAGAAAAGCTATTGCCCGAGTTTTACCTGAGTTTAACGTGACTCTACATCGGCACATCATGCCATGACCCGATTTAAAGATGCCTGGACTCGTGCTGCAGCCGGATTACTTGAAGTACTCCAAACAGCAATATCATCGACGTATTGGGAATCCCAATTTGGGATTCACGTGTCCTGGTTAATTTTGGAAACGGGGTATTACTAAAAAATAAAATAAAATGTCCAGTAGTGGGGGACTCCTGCTTTGAGTTTAAATTAGTTTGATAGTGCATTGTTAACTTTAACTTTAGCGAATGGATTGTGTAGAAATCTTGATATCCATCTTACAAAAATGTTTGGAATACCAAAGTTGGAAAGATTCAATAGTAGGCCTTTGTGCCAAATCGAGTCAAAAGGTTTCCTAACATCAATGAACGCTGCTATAGTGCTGTGTTTGAGGTTAAATCCACAATAAATGGATTCAGTTAAGCGAACTAAATGACCGGTTGTCTGTTTTTTCGTGCAGCAGTTTGTACATTTACATTTAGTTATTTTTTAATAGTTTTCCAATGCAATTTGGTAGACTAATTGGTTTATAATTTCCAGGATCCTGCAGGTTTTGTTTATTTTTCGGGAATACTAAAATATTACAGCCTGTTTTCACATGTATGGATAATATCCTGACATTAGTGAAAGATTTCAACATTATGGGATGTCGGCAGCGAAGTCAAAATCTGTAACCTATGTGAGTTGCACTATGATCGACAGTCCCATTTACACTCACGGGAAATGTGCAAAAGAAAAACAATTGCGCCCCTGGTGGCAACATGTGACAACGGAAGTATATTAATCCATGTAATATCCTTAACATCCCTGTACAATTTCATCTTCCTGTGCCAAACCTTTTTGAAATATGATACTCTATCTCATGTTTTATTTTAACATGCAGTAGATCCCTGTACAATTTCACCTTCCTGTGTCAAACCTTTTTGAAATATGATACTCTATCTCAGGTTTTATTTTAACGTGCAGTAGATCCCTGTACAATTTCACCTTCCTGTGTCAAACCTTTTTGAAATATGATACTCTATCTCAGGTTTTATTTTAACGTGCAGTAGACCCATACTTGTGCAGTACTAACATTTATAATAAAAACTCCAATGTCATATAAAGAAACAAGAAGCCAATGCATGACCATGATACTGAAAAGCAAAAGTGCCTTTATTTACTGTTTATATGACAAGAAGTATATTTTTAATTTTACATATGCTGATTAGAACGTTGTTTTAAACAAAATTCAAATGCTAAGATGGTTAAAACTTAAAACACTGTGTTTATATGACAAGGAATATATTTTTAGTCTTTTATATGTTGAATAGTACTTTAGTTTATATTTTGTGTCAAATACTACAATACTACATAAGCTTACATGGTAAAGAATGGTTAAAAGACTTAAAACACTCGTAAATGCAAAACTATGTTGAATTGTACCTTAATTTACATTTTATGTCAAACACTACATGGTAAAAGATGGCGAAAACAGTAAAACTTTTATAAATTCAAGATTTGCAAATAATGCCAAGTTGTATCTAGC